TAGCAAACTACGACTTCTCGAAATGCTTTCCGGCGGGTGTTGGAGGCTAGTCGACACAAGCGTGATTTATGAATCGGATTAATTTAGCACTACCCAAAGTGGAAATTACGTGAGCCGACTGACAGTGTGTTTGCACCCCAATCATTGGGCGCATCGGAAGTTTGTTTGATAATTTGCGAAATGTGAATGTCTTGGGAAAATTGTTTACGCTGCTCTGCACTGGACTGATTAACTGCAAAATATTCGTGACTATACTATACTGTAGAGAATGTGATTCGAGTGGAATACTTTGTCAAAATAATCACCGGCCGTCCACAGTTGGCGTTCAGTGATGGCTCTTGATATCAGATGCTTGCAGCTATATTCCAAATTGGGGTATATTAGACCTGCCATATGTTCGTCCGGTCTATCTCCGATATAGGATATTTAAGGCCTCCGTTCGGCGGCAAGCGTGTATGAAAATCGTCTTAACCTGATGCAGTTAGTTTCCTTTTTCCTGTTGTTTTTCGTATCCGTGAATTGTGCTTAGTTATGCAATCGACTGCAATTTGATACAAGTTAAGGAGGCACTTGTAAAACGAAATCAATGAGATGCCGAATGCGAGCACATATCTGATTCTTCACGTATAATAATAAAAACCAAGGAATTGTTTTATACTCAATTTTGCAATAGTGAAATAACAAAATAAATATTTAACAAACTGCGTATTTCAAGGGCGAATGTTGATGGTTAATGTTTGTTTGTGATATAGTTCCAGTTCTTGAATTTAGAGAAATATTTCGATGTTGAATTATTAACCAAACAACATTATATATTTTTGATGTTGACCTATAACTTATTTATATTACATTACATTACAAAACATATGTGGAAATATCTGCTATCTTAAAGATTCAACCTGACTGAAAAAAAATAGTTACATGAACTAATAATGTAGTTTTAAAAAGACTGAACTTTGCTTTCCCACTTATTACAGATTTTATTTGAGTTTGAGGTATAGCTGACTGAACTGTTGAGATTTTTCCTCTGACAACCAAGGTTGCGTTTATTTAAATGCTGACACTGGGAAGTGTGATAAAAGTCAGTGGAAGATGAACTCGTATATCTAAATAAATGAATTTTTATATATACATCAACACAATCAATACAATTTTAAACCAGTCTACCCGCAGCTGATAAACCAGCACTGAATATTCTAACGATCTACGGTCATGCCAGTTGGCTTCTTCGGTTCCGGCTTTTACTGCCTAAATGGAACAACTGGGAACGGGGATACCAGTTCCATAGACCTTGTACCACCATAAAAACGGTGCGCTGGTAGGAAATCAACGTCATTGTGCGTTAAACATAATGTGCCCTGAAAAGATTTGACTAACACATCAAAGAGCATCAGGATTCGAGTACAACTCGTCGAATTATCTAGCCGTACTGTGTATTAGGTTGGACTTAACCAGGATTGAATTACTTAGACATAGCAATATGTGATAAAAATATATGAGGGTTTATCTGCTATCCATCACGGAGGTGATCGTAATTCAACCAAAAAGCCACCATTCACAAGCTCAAAGGAATTGGTATGAGCTCTGATTATGTGTAGGGAATATTAGAACCATGAGTGACAAAAATCAGAACATGAAATGTGTGGGTATGATTAACTAGTCTGAATTCGCATTTTAAACGCCCCGCCACTTCTCATGAGAATTTATTTACTCCCTAACCCGCTTTCACTGTGATATATGACATTGTGTGTTGTATTTGGCTGGTTAATAATAAAGCACCTAAAATATGGTTGTTTGCGTTCCTAGTAAAATCAATTTGACCACAACCGTTTATTCGACCCCGATGTTCAACAGTTTACTTCCATATTGCACATTCGATTTCCATTTTTATTATATGAGGGCGCACGTATGCAAGCAGCACGGTCTCGACCCAAAGTGCACTGATAAAACACCAAGGTTGTGCACGCGCCGGCGCGTGTGCGTGCACGTGCGTGTGTGCCCCATAAGCCATGTGATCTTCTCGATCTAATTTCTGGTCATCGGTGATATGTCCTGGCCTATCAAAATTTCGTTCGATCGATCGTGCTTACAACAACAGAATTTGGAAGAGGGTTGTACAACAGATTCGCCTGCTACTACTATGTATATATCAATGTTCATCTTCTTTTCCTGCTCCCAACCCTCAAACGCCCCCCCCCCGCGCCTCCCGCCTCCCGCCCGCCCACAACTGCGCTTCCACCCCCCAACCACCCACCCTATATTTTCCCCGTCCTCGCCGCCGCCCTATGTTGTTCGGTCAAATTCCTGTCTGTCTTCAGATGCGCAACTGGAAAAGCAACAACTTGGAACCGGCTACCGAGAAATATCTGTTGGAACATCGATTTGGCACGGTATGGTTTCTAATTGGTTGGTTTGTTCGAGGGAATGCGTTAAGCATATGCAGTGAAATTTGTCGCCACTTTCTATTGCCGAATTAATCAGACACTTACTCAAATAAGCTATGTAAGAAGTAAGCGAAAACGTAACAGTTTGAAAATAAAATCCGACTTTGGGATAATTAATGCAAATAGTAGAATTTCGTTTCTGGAAAAAGGCAGCACAATAGACATTTTGTGAGGATTTCCTGCAAATGAAAATGTAGCCGGTCCTTATTGTCTGAGAGACAATAGAATAGGGTTTTGTTACATGGATTGTTTGTAGCTGCTTCCGTAATTGTACCGTCTATGGAAAAACGCAAGACGAATACCAAATATCGGTAATGCTAGTTACATTGGATACGGAGACATCGTTTTTGTGTGATCTGTCTCTATGCAATAGACTGGTACTTTAAGTTCGGAGCTTTAAAGAGGCCTACTATGAATGGCTTCCAACGGTGAATAGTAAAATATGGGGACGGAATAAAACATATTGACGATTCGATAACATGATACAAACAAAGAGCTCACGTGTTTTTCAAACCATGGGGCAATCAAATATCACATTTCTCTGAAAGCACCTAATATTAAGTGGAGAATAGTGTAAACAACAATCCAATCATTGGTCGCAAACACGTTGTAGCTAGGATTATCACTAAGAATATTCACAGTCACCTACAAGAACGCGATGAATCTGAATAACGAAAGTGGTGTTCATTCCTATCCAGTCCGCAAATCGCTCTATGCTCACTCGGAGATTGTCACAACGCAACAACATGTGCTCATTCAATCATTTATAAGATCGAAAAGTATTATCCATCCCGTGTAACTGACTAGTGCAAATGGCTGATCACAGTCTGTCAGCTAATTTACACTTCATGGATTTCGTGAAATCTGAATTTTCATTCCATTTCGTCAGTGTAAATCATAATTTCAAACTTTGAGATAGAGTAACAAAATGGATTTAGCATTCAGGTGTAAGGAATAATTGATATTTACTTGAACTGACCATCCTTCAGAGTTTGCACACGTACACAAACCTCAGTTCGTCCAGTAAACCATACACTCTGAAGCACTAGACTGAAGTTTTGCTCCTACCAGAGTTCATTAGTAGTGCATATTCACCTCTCCCATCCGTGCTTTGAACTCCGGATCCATCACACGGAAGCCGTATGTGTTACAACTGTGCCACCCAGTGGGCCAAATGAACTGATTAGTTGTCCCTGAAGATGACAATTCAACAAACATCGATAGGCGATTACGCTCAACCCTGAGCACGGAGTTCAAATCCCGGACGCGTGGACGGTGGATACGCACTACTAATAAGCTCTTCTAAGAACAAAACTCGAGTCGTGTTTCGGAGTGTATGGTTGACTGAAAGAACTGAGGTTTGTGAGTAAGGGGGAAGTCTGAAGGATGGTCAGTTCAAATCAGAAATGGAATCCTTCAATTCCGTTGTCGTTCTTTTGGGAACAATTCGCACTTCTCATCAATGTAGATAGTCCGTAACAGTTGGTAAAACAACGTGGTAATGAATTTCATTGTACACGTGTATTTTGAACTGTATTTCTCTCATTATGTTTGCCTTTCAACACGAATGTTTTCTTATGATTTTCAACATTCAGCTGTAAATCTTTTGCTAAAGAAAATATACTATTCAAAATAAGTGTTGGTTTCGCTAGAATTAATCCACAATTTATATCAAAATGAGTATTAGGAATAAACTGTTGTATAACGAAAAAGAGAGAAAGCAGAGGCTTTTGTGAATGATTAAACAGGACTGGATCAAGTTTTCTATCTGTGCATTTCATCATGATCTCACATTGATCTTACGTCTATGAATAGCTGAATTTTCAAAATATGAATTTCGTCGCATAAACGTTACTTTTTGACGTAAACGTTAAATGAGGGCAAAAGTATAATTACGCAGCATCCCATGATCCATTGAATATTATTTATGTGAAATCATGTTTACTATGAAATTTTTGCGCACAAACATTGCATGCATTATATGACGTCCAAAAACATTAGAAGCAGTTCCTACGCACTTGTTGCCGTGGGCTCCATAGGCTTCGATGTGTCATTTGGATGCACATGAAAATCCGATTAAAGTTTTCGGGATTATGGTTTACATAGACATATGAATGTCGGAACACCTTTTTGTCGGTGTTGGCAAGTGGTAAAATGTCTAAATTATCATCCCGGACAACATGTGTTCGAATCTCACCATCACGGCTTCATTTTTCCCGTTTCAAATTTTGTGTGGCAACCAGTTAATTGTCCGCTTCCCAATTGTTGAAAACTATATCATTGTGTATTCAATTAAAGGAAATAAGAATGGAAAATTAAAGCTACCATCGATTTGTGTTCTCAATACGCGGTTTTGAAGTAGTAAACTATAATTTGTAAAATTGTCCGTGAACGGTTTGGAAAGTGATATATATATATATGTATATCAATAGTTTGCTGATTCATGTTCATTGGTCACAAATATCAGGCCCATCGCGGCATCGATACATAAACTCACAACTGTGTTCTCCCTCCCTTCAACTCAACGCGAATGCTTGCTGATATTTTTTGTTCCAGGTTAATACCAGTGGAATGTCCGAATCGCTCAAGGCCGCATTTTTAAGATACAAACAATTTTTGACGGAGAAGGTGAATAGTAAAAATCTCAATCTGCTGACCTACACTTATGCCCAGTAAGTTTCACTGATTCTGTTCTAGTCTGTGTTGTTTTATTTTCATACATTATTCTCAAAATATTCCTACCCCCGGAGAAGCAAACTAAACACTCCGGCAACAAAAGAATACCTCGTATGCGATTGGGTAACGGATTGAGAAAAATGTTATCGATTTACTCAACAATCAAATTATATATTTTGTTTTTGAATCACTATCAAAACAATTTCATCAACATGACGGATTGATCTGTATTGCATCCCGGTCATAGATGAAGATTGAACTCGGAAACCGAATCATCATTTAGTGGAGAAAATTTCCCATCAGATTAATCTTACAAACGACTGGTTGTATTTCATGAGGCGTTTCGTAATGTGTACCAGGTCCCACTAGTCGAACTCCTTTTAACCGAATTTAATTCAGAAGCTTCCCGAAGTGTTGTTATGCTCAAAACTCAAAAGTTAAACATTTCTATCAGCTGTCCAAGGCTCAATAGGGTGGAGTGAAACACACATACAATACAAGAACACGAGGTACAGTATCGACGGGGCATACACTGTGAATCCAGTTTCACATAACACAAGTGATTCTCAGTAATGACCGTCAGGAACACATATTGGCCGTCCCACGGACGACGTGCACGATAGTACAGACGGCGAGAACACGCACAGATACGAGGTATGTCCAGACACTACGGATCCCGTGCCTCAGCTGATAGGAAAGTAGTTGAGCCACACAAGTAGGATCACGGTTTGTTTTGATTTGACTATCGGTTTATTTTGACGTCAATGTCAAAGCGCATGGCAACTTTCTTCCAAATCATTACCCCTTTTGACTCTAGTGAAACGACATGGTCTGATCTGACCATTCATATAACGTTGGCCATATCGTAAAGGGGTGCAATGGTACATAAGGAATGATGAATACTACCGTCCCGTCTCGTTGGGAGTATTATGAAGCTTAATTATCAACAAATCTAATGCCTCATGATGGTAATAAGAAGGAAAGGTGTTTCAAATTTGCCACTCCAGAAAGGAAAAACTCTGATTACAACATAAATGGCTTATTGTTTTGCATTTACAAACCCAGAGTTAAATGAAAACGATGATTTAAAAGTAGTTTCATAACTCCAGTTAAATAGGACATTATTCTGCGGGGGGAAGATCCACCGAGAGCCTGATAATAATGAATCCAGCTCACAAAAATACATCCTCATTGTTGTAATCGGATTGTTCGCTCTGTAACATCTATTACAATTCAAACAACCAACTGTGCAGTATAGGATCACCAAATCTCATTTGTTAACCAAGCTTTGTAACATTACCATTGAAAAACATTAACTATTTCAACATTTGTTGATCACAGAATATTCCAATGCATCTTTTGCATCTGACACTTACATGGTCATAAGATTAAACTTTGCGGAGTCGAAGCGTGATAACTACTCGGTTTGGTTTAAGGCACGGAATTGAGAACACGAAAGGAGGAAAGTAACGAACATGCACTGGCCACATGATAAAACGAAGAGAAATTATAGCTTAGGCGTATTTGTTTATATGATGTTCCGGTCTGTGGTCACAGAGGCTGTGAGAATTGATGCACAAAATGAGAAAGTTTGCAGAATTGGTCATTCGTCCAGCTCATTCAGTTGATCGTTTGTACATCTGATGTTACAAAGTGGCTTCCAGATTTTATCTCCCATATCCTTCACTTTATATATTACAATATTTATCATTTGCTTGTAACTTATAAAAATACATTCTGACGAAGCGTATTTTTAATGACAAGGTATTGAACATCGATTCATATGACTTGGGCAAACTGGATTCATTTTCTCTCCAGATCGTTGTGCTCAGCTATTTGTTTGCATACATTTCATCACCAGCCGCGGTGACATCTCCGGGGCTTCTGAAGTGAACCGTTTGGAAGAAACTTCAAACGGGATAAAGTAGATTTCGACGGCACCCAATGGGCAGTGATTACGGGTTATCATAGTTAACACATGTTTCTGCTGAGAACGACAGCAGCGTGTTGCGAAAAAACTAGCTTTTAGCTATTCATGATCATGCATTACATAACACGAGACAAGAAGAACAAAGGGGAGTGAGAAGTTACGATCATCATGCTTCTGATCTGGCTCCAAACATGTGCGCACGTGTGTTGGTCTGAAATGTGTTAAGTGTTCAATTGGCTGCACATGTGTTTGGGGTAAATGACGTGACCCAGGGGAGAGTATAGGCTTGTACGAATTTGTTCTAGGCACACAATGGAGGACTGTGAATCCGAATGCGTACAGCTTCGGCTGTAATTGGGATGCGATGCTTCAATGCTTTCGATTGCCTACATAAAACCTTGTAAATCAGTCGAAACGAGTTTATCACATCCACTGAGTGATTTGACTGAACAGAGTGTGAACACATCGCACTCGTCCTGTCCTCAGCTAAACCGGATGGTGTTCACTAGCACGATCGGATAAGCGCCCGGTCATCTGACCAATGTAGTCTAGGCCACAGAAATAGATGAATGGTTAAATACAGAATGTGGCATTCAGTCCTCCGGTCGGAAATACACAATCGGTTCTGATCGGAATGCAGTTTTCATTTGTGCAGCGTGGAATGTTATGCTTACTGTACCTGAGAGCTTTCTTTGAATGACTTCCACCCTCTTTATGGCCTTATGCGATCGATGTTACGTTTCCAAATGATAAACTTGATCGTGTTACAAGCGTCATGTTTTCACTTCAACTTGATTAGACAATTGTATTTTTTTTATAATTTAGAGGAATAGGATACAGAGTTTAATGAGTAACATGATTTCTTGACGCAAATGTAAATGACTGCGAATTCTTTTAAGAAATCATGTTAGATCCAAGCCCTACCCAAATTAGTATGATTTTGTGCATCATATTAGCAATTCTATTTGTAAATGAGATTACTCACGTGGGCTGACTATATAAAATATTAGTAGAACTTGTAACTCAAACTAGGCTCGTTTTTCCCGGATGCAATTTCATCATCCTAAGAGGTGGAAATGGCACAAATTCATTTGTACCTATGTGATGTCTTACGCATATGTCACCATAAACAGATGTTTTGTTAATCTGACTAAGCGTGCTTCTTTTTGTCTAACAAGATTATCCACATGTGAGTTAATAATCAACAATGAGTTCGTCCAGTTTTCGCTCAGAAGCTGATTATAGTACTCGACACACGGCTACCGTCAACATGGATGATCAGACAATGCGTGCTGATAACATGCTGGCGTAGAATTTATCCGTCTGTTCCCATACTCTGGAACATGACTACTCATAGGGGATAAACTACTAGACTGATTGGTCAATGAGACCAGAAATTATTTTCAGTGTACAACACGGTTGAACAACGAACTGCAAAATGTGGCATAAAGCAACATTCTTTCTAGATCACATTTCCCACGAGAGAGGTCTTTTGAGTGGGTAACTCTTCCATAGTGAGATTCGTTTTTAAACACATGAAATTGCTGAAATATTCCGGTAACTCGTCAAAGGTTGTATTAGATGATGGAAAGAATCCATTGGCGTAAATCGCCAAGATCAAAAAGGCACGTTTTCATTGCATCGACAAAGATCGCCAAGATCGTTACAACCGGAAACGAACAAGGTGACTAGCACAGCTCGGAATCAGGAATGCAGGTGACTATGAAGATTAACTGACGAAGGCACGCATACAAAAAAAATGGAGCATTGCCATGTTGTTCCTTTGAGGCTAAGTCGTGGGGAATGGACCGCTTGTATGTTTTGAGTTTGAATGTCATCATCACCCGTTACTCAGCGCTGTTTTAAAAATTGTGTAAAGTTCAACGGGAAAATTGTGCATTGAAAACAACAAAAACAAAGGAAGAGAGTGATCTATGTCGATGAAACTCTTTCGTGATCGACGGTGAGGAGTGTATAGCTCTTTCGCATTTGTTAGCACTCATCAGCTGTGCGCACGTTTTGTGATCCCACCGGAACGCAAACTGTTCGGACCTATGCAGATAACTAGTGAGGAAGTAAAACACTCCTAAAGAGCTAAAGGAGTATCCAGAACCAAAAGCAAGTGCTGAATTATGTCAAATACAGTATTCTCATGATATTGTTCAACACAGATATGTTTCTCTAATTTTAAATTTAAAACAAAGGTTCATCTCTAAAGCAAACTCATAATTTGTTTTATTTGAATTCAGAACCAAATATCATCAGGTAATACGTAGCACACCCAGGGACCTGTTTTATCGAAACATATGTCTCTAACATCGCCCACGTTTCCAATGAGAATAAACTAACTCATTCAGATTGAAAAAAAAACCTACTATTGCTATTGTTATTATATTATAATATATTAGTATTATAATAAGTTAAGTTAAGTTAAGTTAAGTTAAGTTAAGTTAGTAAGTTAAGTTAGTTATAGTTAATAATAATAATAATAATATTGTAACAGGTATTGATTTTCGTATCTCTCTAAGGTGTGGCGGAAGACTGACGAATATATTAATTGAAGTGATCAGAGAAGCAAGAATATAGCGAAATCGCACAGTTTATGTCCTGAAAGATTTCGTTGGCTCTCAACGAGTCCCTATTGGAGCTAAGTACATTGTATATATGTGGCTGGGGAATGAATGGCAAAATAAATATGAATTACAATCGGAGAAAGGATCACCAAGGGAAAGCAAAATTGATGAACAAATCACTTTATTCAAAAAGAAAGGTTCTTCCATCGAATAATTGTACTCGCTTCAGCGAACTTCAACTGTGCTCTACTCCTATCATCGCATGTGAATTCCATTTTGGTCGGTAAGCTTGATTTTTCTGTTAATACCCCGGTGAACTTGTAAACAGTCAATAATGGTTGTTAGCAAGGTGCGGTTTGAAGTTTTGTCAATACAAGCTTTGCATACGTATATTTGGGTGGATTTTCAGATTTCTACATCGTTATTACCGCCAAAATTCGGAATAAAATTTGAGTTCAGTAATAAAGGTCTTGGAACGCAACCATTCTTCGAATTTCACAAGAGTCGATCAATCTGATTTCCCAATTCTCCACCTCATGGAAACAAATTGCATGCGTGGAAAAAAAAAACCACACTTTATGTTTGATTCTTCTTGGCCTCGTTTATTGTACTCTAAACCAAGCTGGCATCAACAAACCACCCTAGAGACTGAGGTCATAGATGGAGCAACCGGTTTTCGCTTTAGCGGATCGAGACGGCTAAATTATTCGCATGTTTTTCCAAAAACTCAAACCTGACGCTTTCGGCCGCACCGAATGTGTTTTGTCATCATCCGTTATGTCCATCTTTCGACGACTGATGAATGTAACTTGCTTTTCACGAGCAGTGAAGTGGGGGGGTGGGGTGGGGGGGGGGTGGTTAAGTTAGTTAGTAAGTTATTATTATTATTATTATTATATTATTATTATTATGTTATTGTTATTGTTGCTGTTGATTCTTTTCATTTCCAGCCGATCCAGCCTGGCGGATATGATCCAAGGATTGAAGTAAGAAATCCGGTGTATGCATTTTGGTTCAAAAATGTGGAATTGGGATGCGTTGATTCACTAATATTACGTCACCTACTTCCTGATGAAATTATATTATAAATCGAAAGATCCTGATCCACTATATGCAAACATATTTTTAGCAGTCTTGTTTGAACTTGGAGTTGTTTTCATCACTATTGGATTGGCAAATAGGTTTTCGATTATACAATGATGGGGCTGTAACACCAGCCATTTCGCTGAAAAACCAGATAATCCATTGTACCACTGCTGTTGACCGTTATCAGATATCCGAGAGGGATAAATTATCATTTTTTTCACCATTTTTTCACTGAAAATAATGCACATGGGTTAGGACGTTTCCAAGAAAATATTGCGAAAACGGCCGTTATCTTATTTGAAAATACAAGCGGAATAAACGCAAACTAAGATGAATCTGTATCATTTACCAAAACAATCAATCATTGTTGTTATTTTCAGTACAGGCTGGCAATCGCGCAATCATTCATGTGTTGATGACAGTAAAAGTTGAGCAATTAGTAGCTGAAAAACGGGCTAGACCGATCCAGTGCACCATCAGTACAGTGTGCAATGTTTGTGAAAACATGTGCAACGTTGATCCAACTCTCTCTGTCTCTCATAGTTGTATTCTTGGGCGCAAAATACACGATCAATATTCCTGTCTTTCTGAATTACCTCTTCTTCCTCAGTGCCTATCCATCCCTGAACAATCTCTCAGTCCGTAGTTCTTCCACCCCGAAATTCAGACTGTCCCAGAAAATATAATAGAAAATAACGAAACACTTAGGCTATTCGGTAAATGGTCTTTCAGGGGATCAGCTATAGCATAAAGTTTCGTTTAACGGTATTACCGGTGACTAAATATTCTCCAATTCAAATTAAACTGAAAGAATTCACCACATCACATTGTATCACATTCATCAGCTGAACGTGTAAAATCGTCTCGACGTTTTATCAAATTTTCCAACTAGAATAGATATGCAAACTAATAAACTAAAGATGAAACTGTTACTGACATCCTGCCTTTGTTATGCATGACTTTGTACACACAGCCTTTAAGTTTTAGCATCAGACTAGTACAAATAGAAATCCACGCACGACTATTACCATTGTGCAATTCAGATAATCCTAAAAGGTAAACCGGTCATCATGACAAGTAAAAAAAAATGAGCATTATGCAAATCGCTGTTTATTTATGTTTCTTGTACTTTTGAGCGACACCATGGTTCACCGATAGCCTCATCATCATCAGCAACAACAATAACAAACAGCATCACTGATGATATAGACGGTAATGATTCTCTCATTTTGTTCTCCCCGCGCAGATGTCCGATACTCTTCATTTCCGGTACGTTGTCCGCTCATCGGTCCGGTGTGCGGTACATGTTCGAACTGATGAACAAAGCGCGCAAAGACGATCCAAAAAGTAGAACTAGTCTGGAGCTGATGGAAATAGATGACACAGCTACACCACTGATCGAAAAAGTGAGTACATTGTGTGATATGAAGAAGAAAAACGATTGATGTGTGAAATAACTTGGAGCGAATCTGAAAAAAAACGAACATTTCGGGACAAAAAATCAAACAAGAACCGCCCTGTTCCTCGCATTTAGTCCGATCTGGGTCGTTTCTCAGATTGTTGTTCGCAGAACTCAGGTTGTAGACGGCCGAAAGTTCTTATAGGCAAGTTTGAGCATACGTGGCGAAACGGAAGTCATAACCACTGAACATGTCACCAGGGGAAAATAAATTTGTAATAGGTGTGTTGGGCCGAATCGTGAAATAATAGTGGATGTTTAACTGAGCTCAAATGGATACTATGTCTGCCCGGAAGCTGAGAGGTTAAGAAATGTGCATTGACACACTGCATGAAACATTAAAAAACACCCCTTTGCAGGCGGAGGTTGCCACTTTCAGGGTAAAGTGAACTGTGTTAAACTGTTCATGGAAACTCATACCATACGTTAGTTACCTAACTCTGTTCTCAGGATATTCTACCAACATTTGGTAGCCACAATTTAGTGATATCAGGTATCGAGTATTCCGATTAGAAACGTTTACAACCGAGTAATAATACTGCAGACTAGGGTTGAGATGAGATGAGCGTGGTCTGACGCACGTCACATGCTTCCCAACACGGATAGTGGTATCTCACGGATAACCAAAGTGAAAAACGGCCTACTTACTTGATTGGTGATCAAGTGAGTAGCTTGCTTGCATTCTACCTATGGGTCTCGGGCTTTATTCTCCGTGGAGTCCATAGGTCCGTACAAGTGAAGACATCCAATCGGATGTAAACAGCTCCCCGGCGTTTGGTAACCTTTGTGCACACGCTAGAATTGTTCTGTGCCTAACGAAACTTACAAATAAAACTAACTTTTGTGACAATGTTGGAGTTTATTGCCAAATGAAACATTTCCGGGTCGAGGAGTGAATTTGATATTTGCAAATTATGCGATCAACTCCCGCAACATGTGGTGTAGCTTCCTGAAGCATATGCTCGATAATAGTTTTTCATTAGAGACAATCACATATATTTGCCGTACGTAACATTGTGGGTAATAAAGCCGGTCGTCAGTGAGTGAAATTGGTTAGCCAATCGATTGGTTGAAATTGGTGGACCAATCAGCCGATTGATAAAACTGACTCAGTGACCTATTCACGATTTCTCTAATCCCGACAAGAATCATGCTAAACAAATGGGACTTGAACTCATTGGTAATAAATCCACCAACCATTCTTCACTTGAATGTGCGTTTAGTTGCAATCAATGTGTAAATATTTGAGCACCTAAAGTGTGAGCATGATACAAGTAGTAAAATTCACAGAAGACCCTATCTGTGACAGCCGATATTGTTCTGTAGCACAGCTGGTCAGCCTTGTTCTCAGAAGTCTCAAATCCTGTTTGCTCAAAGGATGACTTTGAAAAGAGAATCAGATCCAATTGGGATCGTTTGTAATTCAATCTTAGACACTTGCATACCAGTATACATCACTTGCGTAACATCAAACAGGTCAACCAATAATCCTGTCTTTCATCCTCCAGCAATGTAAATATGAATGAAATGAGTAGATTTAAGTTACAGCCGTTTCTTTAATTATCATGACACAATTTTAAGTAAAAACTATCTATGGGTCTTTCATTTTCTCAGTCAGCTATTAACCCCAGATTTAACTCCAGATTTGACGAATAACAATAGCCCAGAAAATATTCGGTTCTCAAACTTCTGAACGACAATTCTCTCAGGATTTTATTCTTATTTAGATCAGTTCTTGGGGAAAGGCTAAAATTAACAACTTTTTGGATATGTATTTGAATAACTTAATTGTCACTTTGTAATTCATGTTTTCTAATTGGTTCATCCGCGGTGTTTTTGACCTTGTCATATGTCAACTTGCTACAATTAATTTGTCTTTTCGAAAATTAATTATCATTATTATTTACCTGATAAAAGTAGTCTAAGGGAATCGCTTAATATTACACTGTTCTTTGGTATCCTCTCTCCCTCCCCAACCGTTATAGTTACGTTTTTTTATTAAACTTGAACCTCAATTGCTCACTTACAATACTATACGAACTGATCATCTTGCTGGTGCAAAATCTTTGCACTGTAAACTGTTTTAGGCGGTTTTGAAAAATAAATAGCTCACAGTATACCTTGGGCTGAACTGATGTGCATTAGATTATTTGTTGAAATTGGTGAGCCATATATCTGCCGTTTTCGGCTTGTCATACTATGAATATATGTATGCATGTATGTTTATAGATGTGTGTATGTATGTATGTATGTATGTATGTATGTATGTATGTATGTATGTTGAGTGGCTGATTGAAACGCACGCTTCAAGCACTTGATGACCCGTTGCAAGTTGCATCGGAATAACACATCTTTCATTCACGAGGAACCAGGAAATCGTGTACAGCTCACATAAATTTCAGACCATTTTTCGCGTGAATTTTTATCTTCTTGTTTGTCAGAGAAACATTTTACAGACTTTTCATATTTTATCACGCAAATTTCTATTGTAACTAGAAACAACCCAATGAGTTCGCTTTTCTATGACTAAATATATCGCAATACCATTGGTGAGGCAATAGCGAAATCCGTAGGAAAGCATCAGGATTGGTCTGTCTTTTGATGTGCATCATCAACACTGTATCGAATAGGTTGAATATGTGTCGCCATTCAGTGCACGTGCTCAAACCTACTGTCCGGGATAAACTAATCTTCATTTTGCCACATTTATGGACAATCAGCAAACTCAAATGTAGCTGAGTCGAAAAGTCGATGATAACGTCGCCAAAAATTGTCACTCCGGAGAACGTGTATTCGAATCCAACCGCCATCTCCTAACTATCCTCATAGCACGTTGTATGACCGCATCCTCGTTTCTAAAACTGTAGCTTTCTGTATTCCATAAGAGGAAATAAAAGTGAACAGGAAAACAGAAAATCAATTCTCACTTGAAAACAATTGTTGTTTTCCGAGCACAATCATCAAGAAAAGTCTAACCTTGTGTTACAGTGAACCATGTCACTAAATGTCAGCTGAGTCAGTTCGAATGATACGCGGTATTAATGAATACAACCTGGTATCAATCCACCGGAAAGAGCTAAGTACATATTGGAATAAGTTAATTTTCAATCACTGCAATGAATTGCACGAAAGCGGAGAAACGTCTACGGTGAACAAACTGGTATACTAACCAGATAACGCTCTAATATTTTATAAGAAGGTTCTTTATTAAAATCTTGTTTCACGCAAATACTCCCAGCTCTATCACTGAGCCTCAGAATTACCACTAAATTTGTTTTTATCATGAATCCGTTTGTCGTGGTCGGCGCTGGATGTTTCCCAGAATTAAGAACTATGCGCGTGATCTTTTTAACAAATGTTTCTACATTCAAAATATGTATTTCATATAAATGACCGGTGAACCTGAGCGAAAAGCATTCTATTGATTTGTTATAATTTGTTCTGGTTAGCGGAGGCCCGGTTGGTAGATTCTTTTCGCCTCAGTTGAGTATACACCTTCAGATTTACACCCAGTTGGTGTCCGAGAGTTTGGACCTGGCTGTGCAACGAACTCGCTTTGATCGGTTAAAATCATAACTTTATATGTATTCAGAGACAGACAAAGCGAACAAAGCGGGAACAATGGGTTCCTTTTTTATATCAACGATCGGAAAATATGCGCACAAGCAACTCATGTTTTTTTCGAATTGACCGTACCCTCTGATACCGATAATTGTTTTCCATACTGGTAAAACATAAAAACACTATAACTGATACAAACAATCCGTTTTTTTACATCTCTTTCCACAGCCGGAGAAAGTGGCTGAAAGTGCATTGCTGTTCCTCCAAGGACTTGGAATTGGTAAGTAGAAAATCGAAATACCGGTTTGACGAAATGTGCTCTAACGCATGGTACCGCGATTTGGTAGATGTATTACGCGGTGTTATGCTTTGTCTGTGAGGACATCGGGAATTGATACCTGTTGGATATGCGCAGAATTGTCTAAGCCACATATGATTGTATACTTTAAGCCAAGCTGTATAGTGTTTACGTATAGGAAGATACCCGCAGCAAAATCCGAATAAACTGTTCTCAATTTGCCCATGTTTGTGAACTATTCGGTTATGAAATGATTATGAAATTTTATCGGTTATCAGATCCAAATAAATAAACCTATTATGCACTTATCTCCCGTCCACCACACGCAGCTCAATTATTCGTAAATTGTTCACACATATTTCTTTATTGGTTCACGGGACGTCGGTTTGTTATTGAACACTTGAGGTTGTAAAAACATCTTCAATGGTTGGCTCTATTTTGAGTTGAAACCTGTCCAACAGCCAATTCGGTTTTACATTTTTCAAAACATTACACACTTTGAGTTAACTTTGTACACAAAGATACGCGTCAATGTGTTTTTTCTATAATCCAAATAAATTACCCTATTTTTTTAAAACACTGTATCTCCTTTATCCATCGCATCAAGACCGAAAAAAACATATATGGTGCTAAAATTCCGTTTAGCGTTCTCAATCACTGACGTAAAACAAACAAGCACATTCACAGCACATTGGATTTGTAAATCCTTATTGAACGGAAATGTACAGATAGACAGGAATTATTAGAATTAAAAACAAAAGTTCAACTCCACGGCAAGTGAACTGATGGGGTCAACAACTTCTGGGTGCAAAGAATGGGATGATGTAATCGGATTAACAACGCCTCACTTATTGCCAACAACTTTGCTATGCATTTGTGTAACAACGATTTGAAGGAGAAAGCGGGATTACGAATATGTTTGGTTGTCATGAGGGGTTTTGCAGTTGATGACCCCGGGTTACGTTTAACTGCCTGATTATCGAGTGTGGGTTGCGTCATCGATTTCATCGATCAAAACGTGATTTCTATGGGCGTACGTTTATTTCCTAATATTTGAAATGCATGATTATATGCTGTGAAAAGTTTCAAACTGTGACTTCCAATAAACCCGCAGTTGATAAGTTAGTTCCAAACGGAATAACAGAGGAGCAATGCCATAGTCGATTTTAAGAGGTAGTGAGCAGCTGTGCAAAGCTTCACCACTAATTTGCAAACAGCTTTTTTCTGTTTGAAGCCAGGTGTCCCAAGTGGCTAAATTATAAGAATATTTCATCCATATGTATTTATTTCAGCATAGATAAGCATTCTTCCTCCAGATATTTTCTTTATTTTGAAACACATTTTATCACACAATGAACCATTTATTTGTTTTCAGTGACTTCGGTGAGACCTATCTCGGGATCAACTACTCGCAAATCGTCAATTGACCCCAGCGCTCCAATGGCATCACCGGAGAAACGATCCTGTTCGGAATTCGTGAATCTGGATTCGGCTTCACCTGCAACCACGGATGTGACCAAACCGTTACCCACTGACGTGCCACCCAAACCGGGTGACACACCGGTGCACCAGGGATCGAATGCTTCTTCCCGTTTCCTCAATCGACAATTGTCAATGGCCGAACTAGACTTGCCCCGTGGACCGGATGCGTTGAGTACTTTGAAAATTATTCAAAGTGCAGCCTCGAATTCATCGCGGAAATTCTCCCAGAGTTCCGCAATGGAACACCGATTGTCTGATACTGCCGAATAGA